TGATCGCGCGTCTATATTTCGCGATCATAAATTACATCAACTCGCTAACGGCACACGCTTTGAAATTAGCGTTGTAACGTGGTCGAGCGTCGCGCACCGGGGAATAACAATGTCCCAGGCTCACGTGCGCTCACGTATAGTATATTTATATACGTGCATTGTGCGCATCTAATTTCGGAACAATGTTGACGTCATTTCCGTTTTCATTTAATCCGCTGATGACTATATGAGTTTGGACACTGCAGATCGTATATATTAATCACTATATGCATTCATAATCGCGGCGTTGTACTGCGACAAGCAAAATTATCATATATATATATATATATATATATATGTATATATATCTCCGCGAGCGCGAATAGAGAAGTCCATTTCGCCCGCGGGTCAACTGTGCGCGAGGAAACTGTGTTTAAGAATTTTTTACGTACCGTCTTTTTCGACTCTTGTCGAATTTTTGTGCGCATGCATGCGAAAAAAAAAAAAAAAAAAAAAAAAAAAAAGTGGCGTATTCCACTCGAAGCACGAGAGAAACGTGCAGTAAACTCGATAATACTCGCGTATTATCGTAGCATGTAGCTCCGCTCTGTCGTACACTCGCGCACGAAGGCCTTCCCCGGTGCGCCACGTTTGCACTTACACACGTAGCGATTTATTGCTCGAGCGTATAAGCGATTTTTCAGAATGAGAGAAAACAGTCAAAAAGGAATCTCCCCGTCGGGTTTCAATTTTCTGAAAATTTTTACCTCGACTGGTAATATCGCACTGTTAGTTTCAAGTTCGAGAGTTAATTGAAAGAGAACAAAAAAAAGAAAAAAAAGAAAAAAAGACAGAACTAACATTCAAGAGCGTAATGAGACCGTCCGGACTACAATTCGAAAGCCTATACAATAGATCTATCGCTTAGGGTCTCTAATTGCTTTTGCGTTTGTCCTTGGTTCTCCAAACGGACGTTCGATGTCACCTGTCGGTCACAATAGACGACTTCTCTATCTCTTCTCTATAACGCCTTGCAATTGTTTTTCCCGACTGTCGCAGACAGTCCAAGGAACAACCGATTCGCGAGACGTTTTCCGATGAAATCACCGCGTCGCGGTCAAATGTTTCACGGACGGAAGTGATGACAATGCGCGCGCGCGCGCGCGTGTGTGTGCGTGTGCGCGTGGCATTGTGTCGGTCGTTAAGCATTTGATACGGCCGCCACTTTCCTGTCCCGCTCCATTGTCGACGTTGTAACCAAGCCGGCGTCGTTTCTCTCGCGCGATACGATACGCGCCCGTCGGTCGCCTTGTGACGCACGAAGAAGCCGCGCGCGCTCTTAGGCGCGCGCGTTCTCAAAGCGGTCGGCTATAAGGCGAGGAGACCCGACGCGCGCGCGTTCGCCCCACGGCATAGAGATATGATAAAATGTAAAAAAAAAAAAACGAAATAAAGACAAGCGGAAACACACACACACACACACACACACACGCGCGGGAACAAAATTGAATCTCTTGTTCGCGAACAAGGCAAATACTTCGCGCGAAGTTGAGTTTTGGAATCCACTCGCGAGAATAATTCGGAGCAGAGAGAATACATATGTCTCGTTAAGATATTATTCTGTTTAAATTGCTAAACAAATTTGAGAGAGAGAGAGAGAAGACAGTGACATCGCACATTGCAAATATAAGTTTTTACATACTCATTCGCATTATTGTTACAAAAAACCCCGTTCGAGACGCGCGATTCTATGAATAGCGCGCCGGCTTCGAGCGAATTTGAATTTCTCGGTTACACGATAAGAATTATCTTATCACAAAGCATTTTTGTATTACACGGAAATTTTTTTACACATCGGGAAAAAAATGTTTTTTTTTCACGCGCGCGCCAACGGCTACTCGCGTCTAATATAAATTAGAAAAGTTTTGTTCAAAAATATCCAATGATTTTTCTATCTATCTATCTCTTTCTCTCTCTTTCTCTCTCTCTCTTTCATTCTCCGCTTTTTGTTAACATTCAACGTTGTAACACGTAGGAGAAAAGGCGACCTACATCGAGCGACAATTATATTGCGCAATGTCCATTGCTATTTCACTCCGATTTATATTCCTTGCAATTGTAATTGTACAACGAACTACATGGGATATGTAACGAAACTGTTTTGTCACGTTTTTTTTTTATTCTTTGTTCCTTTGTCGCCGAATAAAAATTAGAAGCGCGCTCGCGCTCGCGCGATTGGCTCGTCGCGATTACTTCGCTTGTATTTGCACACGGTGCACACAACGCGCGAGCGATAAGCGAGCGGACGAGGGCGTCTTCGACGATGGCCGGACGACAAGAGAGAGAGAGAGAGAGAAAGAGAGTTCGACGCGAACACCTACGCAGTTTACCTTCGACCGTTCTCGAACGAACGTTAAACGAATTGGCGAAATCACGTACAATACAGTCGCGTGCGAGTTTCTCGACGTGAATTTCAGTCCGCAATGAAGACCCCGGGACTTTCGCGCGGGCGTTTCGGCGGGTTCCACTCGATGGATAATCGATTCCGATAATTGCGCGGCGCGGCTAGCTCAAGCATGACCGTACGACGATGCCTATTGTTTGCAGAAGCGTCGGTTACAGTTGGTAATGATCAGCATATACGGCGCGCGCGCGCGTGTGGATCCAACGACGATGATTATTCGGGCGGATTGTGCGCGGCGGGAGAATGCATAGGGAATGCGCATAGAACGCATCCGCATAACCGGATATGAACGTATTAATTATTGAAGACGGAACGGGGACGGTCAACCGCGCGCGCGTCGCGCGGATATGTAAAAAAAAAAAAAAAAACAACAAAAAGAGAAACGCGTCGCGCGGAAACTGAATGCGCGCGGCGCACTCGCGCGGGATTATATTTTTGGAGAGGGGGGGGACTGCAATTACATTTTTTATACGGCAATCCGTTGCTGCGTCTGTCCGGCGCAACAGTTGCGCGAGCGCGCGCCCACAAAGCGCATCTACTATTCGGGGATCGGATTAATATTGCTTGTTTTGTTGCGGATATAACGCGGCGTCAAAGTAGAGACAAAATTGCTTTGTTGCGTGTCAAAGGCCGAGAGTGAAATAAAATATCGCTCGCTCGCGCGCGCGCGCGCGCTCCGTTAAAATGTTGTAATTCCCCGATAACGATTATTGTTTCGAAATCGCGCGCGTGTTATTGTCATTTTGCTTCAATGGACTTGAAAATCTCGTATCGCCGAGCATTTTTGACCGTGCGCGTAATCATCAAAACTCGTTAAAATAAACGTTACTTTTGTTGAAATATTGAAACGCAATTTATGAACTTAATTGTTCGCCCTCCCTCCCCCCGACGGAGAAAATTGCGGTGGGCGGGAGAGACTTCTCCGTTTAAAAAAAAAAAAATCAAAAGAAAACAAAAATAACGTCAGATTAAAGGCGCGGTTATATTTTAAAATACTGATTACGCACACTTACGTCCCGCGGTTAATCGGAGTTAAATACGGCGATAAATCCCCGTTGTGCGTGTTTGCGCGCAGCTTTTCCGAAATTTTCTATATGTGTGTGTGATAAATGCCGCGCATTTATAATCCTTCTCGGACAATTTTCCGAAATAAGCGCGGAGAGATAGAGAGATAGATAGATATATATTCAATGGGCTGCGCAATGTATAGGAACGCGAACGCGAATAAGTAACGTTAAACAAATGCAAGGCGGCGTATTAACAAATGCGGATTTATAGACGTTTGGCCTACCGCCAAGCTACTTAAAATTTCAACAATACAATTGTAACGCCTCGTGGAAATCAATACGGACGATATTCCTCATAATTCCGCACGAAATCCGCGCGTAATTCCAGCGACTCTGTCTCTCTCTTTCTCTCTGTCTCTCTTTTGGCGACGAGAAAGAGACAAAAAAAAATGAGGTTGAATTTATAAAAACGTTAGCACGCGAAATTACACATCGTCAACGCGAAGTAAATAAGTTAACCGAGCTTCCCGCATGCGGCGCACAATTATTTTTCACTATACGTAATGCAACCTATTATTATATCGTGATGATATATTTTTTTAGAACGTCGTTTTTCTCTCTCTTTTCGTTTGCGCTAAACACGGTCGCATTAAACGGGAGTTTAGTCACTTGAATGTTTAATAATCCGTCATCTATTTTGCAACGTCCGGCCATCGCACGCGATCTCGACATTGCGACACGCTGTGCGAAAACATTTATTTGCGAATAAATAATCGCTCGTGTGTAAATTATTATTTTTCTTTTTTTTTTTTTTTTCGCTCACCAACGCGCAATTACGCGCGTTATCGCCACCACCCCGCTGGTGGTCCGAGGAATTAATTCGCTCGTGAGGGTTTTTTTTTTGTTTTGTTTTCTAACATCTTTCTGAATATACGGCAATTTATTTAACGGCCGAAACTCTCCGGGACCGGGACGAAATTGACCGACTAAAGCGACCCGTTTTCGCCTATTGTTACGTAGCGCTCGTATCAAGTTTCCGGGAAGCACAAGCGCGGCGTGTGTGATAATATATCGCCGAGCGGCCGGGAGTTATTCCCATTGCCACACCAATATGAAGTCGGTGCGCCGGCCAATTAAAAACTCAACTCGAACGCGCGATTGTAACGTTTATTAAACGCGTTTCCTTGGCGCCGCGTGTGGAAAATTCAATTTCGTCGCGCGGCTTATAATAAAAACGGCCTGGACCCCACATCGGACCTTAACGCCGCTGTTGCGGGATAGATATCGTTGGAGCAAGAGAGAGGGGAACGTGAATTTCGAATCTGCAATCGAGAGTGCGGTCAAGTCCGTAAGTGCGGGCGTACGCATTTTTTTACACGGACTGTGACCGCGCGCGCAATCAGAGAGGCGCCCGTTGACTCGTGACGCTTCCGGTCCAGGCTTCCGGTCCGCGGAACCGCACCGTTTCCGTTCGACTGCCCAGCCCACCGATCGCGTCGTCGTGGGCTCAGCCAGCGTGGATCAGCGCGGCGAGAGAGTCTCCCAGTGTATTCGTGAAATCGGTCCCGGCGCTTCTCTCCTCTCGTTCGTCCGTTTCACGAACGTGAACGAGAGAGAGAGAGCTCTCTCTCGCAAGAACCGCGCGCAATACTTGCGCGCGCCCGAGATAATTAGTTTCCGAGAGTTGGTATTCGCGTCGCGGTTGTATATACGTTCCCCGCTATAGAGTCAAAACTGCCGCGCGCGTGTGATCTACGAGCGATATCGGTTATTTCGCCTCTACCTTTGACATGCAGAATTAATGATCGGTTGTCAGTGTCTTGAAAGCTGTGCTAATCAGCGCTTCGATGTAGCACGGCGGCGCTTCAAGCGCGATAACGAAATTATCGCCCAAGTTTTGAATGTTTCAACGCGAAAGCAGCAATATCGAGAGAATAGTATTGATTGTGTTGTGTGTAGAGAAAGCTGATATTATAACGTGATAATTAATTTAGCGTTATATATATAGCGCGCGCCCGCCCGCGAAACCTACGAGGCGCGATACGAGGTAAATGTCTCCCGATAATCGACGTTTGTTCAAGAAACAATTACAACGGATCCGACGGTTTGAGCAGACAATTGAAGCGCGCGGTGGAAAAATAATTTATGTGATTTTGTGATTAAAAAAAAAAACCAAAATAAAATAAACGATCGCAAAAATTATTGAACGAGGCAAAATGTCTCCAATTGACGGACGTTTATTCGAAAAATAATTTATACAACAAATCCAATAGTTAAGTAGACAATCGGTGCGAGTCACTTGATGCTCGCGGAAAAATAATAAACGAGATTTACCAATCGGGAAAAAATAAACAATCGAAAAACTCGAATCTCGTTTATTATTTTTTATTCTTCGTATTATTATTCCGTTCCCGATTGTCTACTTAACTATTGAGTTTCTCAAATCTAAGAAAAAAAAAACAAACAAATTGTAACCGGGACGGAATTGTTGTTAATTAACATTTACGTAATTAACCTTTTCGCTCCGGGACTGGTCCATATATGGACCAGCAAGGAAAGTGAACGTAATAGATGTTTATAAGGTCAATTTAATGCACTAAATTTAGGAAAAAAAATTGAAAAAAATCCTGGTTACTTCTTTGACCTTCAAAATTAACTTTGAAGGGGAGGGGGTAGCAGGTTATTATTAACTTTTTCAGCTAAAATGCGAGGTCAATTTTAAAGGAAAAATCCCCGGAGCGAAAAGGTTAATTTATAAATGGATTTCTCTAATACAGAAATGTCAGTTCATTGGGACGAGAGTTTACCTCTTGTGCGCTTAGAAAGTTCATTAAATAAATACGTCGCGTTTTTTTCTTCGCTCTTGTAATTTGCGGTGCGCGCGCGTGAAAAAAGAAAACGCGATCGTTCGCGATTTGTATTCAACGCCCAGAGGCCGCATTTTCTCTCCGAGCTTCTTCTCGCAAGATACTCCCGCATTATCCCTAACGAGAATGTGAAATCCATGTTACGGCGGGACGATAACAAATGATGCGCGCATCGCCTCCACACGTTCGCAGAACGGGAACGAGGAATTTATTATGAGGACACTCTTAAGATTGAGGATCGCACGATGATCCGCCGCGCGCTTCTTCTAATCTGATCCGAGATCCCGAGCGGGATAATTGCGACGGCGGTATAACGTTCGCTGAGAGATCGAAGAGAGGAGCGGCGGTGTAATCGGCGCTCCGTTCCCCTCCCCGAGGGGAGTTGCGGATGCGGCTGTGTGTATCTGCGGCCGTGATACGCGAAAATGGCGGTTGCGCCCGGTAAGAATAAATTGAAAATGGGCAGTGCGGACCGATACTACGGCGCTTATCTCATCTACGACGTGGCGAACTCATACCTCGCCGCCTTGCACGCCAAGATGCCTCCTCCGGTGGTCGTCACGCGAACCAACCCTCCGTCTCCCGTGCAGAACCCCCGTAAGTTTTCTCTCTTCGTACTTTCTCTTCTTCTCCGAACGTGTGTGACTGGGGGATGGGGGGGAGGAACGCGCTCCGGTAAAACGCGCGACGGCGATCGCGCAGGTGTTCGATTCCCTCGATTTTCCCGCGTCCCGGGAGCAATTAGATCTTTCCTCCCGGTCATTTTTTTTTTTTGGCGAACGTTTCAATTGTCATTCGCGCAAGAAAACGCGACACACACACGTGTGATGTAACCGCGCGGTGACGTCTCGCGAAAAAAAAAAACAAGCGACATCGCGCCGATTTCTTTTATCAATTTTTTTTTTTTAAGTTTTTAATCGCGCGCGCAAAGGTCATGTATGAGCATCGGATCAATAAATAAATGTTAGCTCGCGGTTGACTCCGTCGAAATAAATCATATGCAAATCGGACCGAGCAGAAGACACGTTCCGACACGTCAGTTATGAGATATTAGGTGCTGGATACAGAAATAGCCAAATCGTTGTCCATCGTTCCCGAGATATAAGAGCCCGTTCGGATGGTTAATGGCGGGATCTTTCCGGTTGCATGTTTCGAACCTATTAGAGAGAACCGACACACGTAGAATAAAACAAAGAAAAGAAAAAAAAAGAAAGAAAAAGAAATACGGGAATAGATTAGATAGATGTGTGTATAAAATAAAAGAAAAAAAATACGAGAGAAAGAGAGAGATTCACGGTTTCAACAACAACGATCTTGTTAACGCTATCAAGACAATTTAGCGGGCGCGGGTATCGCTTTGTGTGCGCCGTAACGTTACACGTGTAATTTTTTATTCTCACCGCCCGATTGTTTCCGCGCCGAGAGAGAATACGCGGCGGCGACGACGCGACGCCCGTAATTTCGACAAATTTATTTACGCGCATTGCATTACGCGCGTCACATAAGCCGAGATATATATATATATAAAATTATGAGGAACTGGGTTACATTCTGGGATTACAATATTCTTAATTGCGTTAGTGTGACGCGAGAATGCGCAGCTCGTAAACGCGCGAGGCGTCGCCGCCGCCGTCGCCGCCGTCGCCGCAGCCGCGCAGTTTCCGGACCCGCGCGTAGATTGTATCCTGCATTTTTAACCGCGAGATAGATAAAATCTAAATACACACACACGGCAAACACACAATACAGAGCCGCTTGCGCGGCGGTGTGTTTTGAAAAATTCGAATCAATTTCGCGGGAACCGCTGCCGCGTCGCACACACACACACACGGGGCCGCAACTAAACAGTCGCCTTCCCTAAGCCCGTTTTCCGCACAAACGACTTTTAAGGCAATATCGATAACATTAAATATTCACTACCCAAATACGTCCAAAGCTGATGTCTTATTCAGAGAAATAGCGCGGCGTAACAGCGCGCGCGCGTGCGCGCGGTTGTACATTATATTCTCAAAATGGGGCATAACCGTAACCTACGGCGATGCGTTTAGTAAACTGTTTTCAATAGCATCCCCCTCCGGTATTACTACGCGATATCGCGGAACACACCGATGTTTAGTAACGCAATTCCGACGTAGATGTAAAATCGCATTTATGTTTATTTGAGTAACCAGATCGCTTGCTTGCTTGCTTGCTTGCTTGCTGGTTTTGTTTGTTTGTTTGTTTGTTGTTTGTTTGTCTGTCGATGAGCTCGTGTGTCCACGCCACGGTATTTGCGTTAGTTGCTAATATAAACTTGTCTTCACATTATTGTCTCGCGCGCGCAATGATACGCAACTCGCGCGCCGACTGATATTTCTTTTTTTTTTTTCTTCTTCTTTTTTTTTCTTTCACCCCCTTCTTGACATCCACCCTTGTCGAGCGATACCCGACGAGCGGGGAGACACCGATAATACGCCGACAAACTCAATAATACATCAACATCCGAGATCGACATCTCGAGGCGGCACTTTACTCTCCCCCCCCCTCCCTTCCTAAACCGCTCCGCTCCGTGACACCTGCTTTCGCGCCCTTGTCATATTTTATTTCCTTCCCTTTCCCTTTACTTCCAACATTCACAGCCAAGCAAGGAAGTAAGAAGGCACGAGCGCCAGGGAAGGGTGGGAAGGGTGGGAAACACCCTATGAGACGGGATAGCGTGTCTGTTTTGATTTATAAGAATTCGCCACGAACCCCTAACCTACCTTTCTAAGTCTGGCCTCACCCCCACGAGCTCTCATAGATCGAGCTAGATCAACCCCCCCCCCCCGTTCCCTCTCCCAACCCTTCGACCTATCTCGCGCGTGAATAATAGGCAGATACCCCGCTAGCCCATCGCTCCCAACCTTGCCGCGATTTTCTCTCCCCCTCCTCCCCTCGTGTCCTCTATCTCTTTCTCGCTTTTTCTCGCGCCCTCCCGCTCTCTTCCCCCTTCTCCTCCCCCCCCGTCTCTTTCTCTTTTTTCATTCGTCTCTATCGCGTCCCGATCGCGCGCCGATCGTTCTTCTCGCGAACGACGGACGAGCTTCATCTCGTCGCTGGTCAATGAAACGATCTATCAACGTTTGCGCCAGAACAAGAACTGTTACAAAACATTAGCGAGTCATGAAAGATTTTTGCATCGCCCGGTTTTCGCGAGGGTATACACGGATCGGGGACACGTCATCAATCTTTTTACTTCTCGCGCGCGCGCGCGCGCGCAAGCGGGTTCGGGGTCCGGTTCTCGCCGACCGGAGAGATGAGTCGTGATAACGCGACGGGACGAGCGCTAATTTGCAGACGTCGCGCTCTCACATTGACAAATAGAAAGTAGTATCGTTTCGACGACGTTGTATTTTTTTTTTTTCGTTTTTCTTTTCCGCCCATTTTCACGGGAATCGCGCTGTTGTTGTTGCGCGTTTGTTCGATTCGCGCGAAGATCTTGTTGCGGCGGGAAGAAAAAAAAACAAACAAACAAACTAATCGAGAGTTCCGCTCTTTGACAATCTTCTCCGCTCGACGAAAATGCCGTGCGATAATTTTATCGCGTGTCGCGATACGCATTATGCAAACTGTAATAGAGTCGCGTGCAGGAGCAATTTACGTTACTGTGAAATTAATCAATTTTTATTTCTGTTGAAAAAAAAAAAAGAAAGAGATTTTGCAGCGCGATCCGCCGCGTGTGCAACGTCGAACGTTGGCGGCGCGCGTTGAAGAACCGGAAGCGAAATGTCTGCGAACTTTTTCAATACACGCGTTCGGCGACCTACTTATTTTTGCTCAATGGGAGTTTTTCAACAGCAACACACACCCTGTCGGCTCTAATCTACTTGTAATTGTTATACGTTCCCCGTGAAAAGGCCTACCACCCCGTCGTCGATTGTCATAAAAGTGATGACTCTCCATGTCGGTTCATTGACTCGCGCTAAAAGAGAGAATATAACATCGGTGTGTTATAAACAAAACTCCGTGTTGCAAAATATTTCTGTCTCGAAACCAAAAAAAAAAAATGAACCCGCAATAGTCTTCGCGCCCAAAAAAGCAACCAAAAAAAGCAAAAGTCGCCAACGGTATAAAATATTTTTTTACCAAAAACTTACAAATATTGTAAAAAGTACCGTCGACCGGCTTCGATCCTTCGTGTTAAATTAATTTTCATCAGGTCACAATATATTTATATGAAGAAAAAAGCTTGCGGTTTTTTTTTAGAAAAAACAAATGTTTCAATTGTTTCTGGCTGTTCTTGTATTTTCGAATTTTCGCTGACGGGGAGCGTCCGCGAGCGTTTGAATTTCAAATCTCTCTGCGACAAAGAGAAACATGTATCACGTTAACGTCTTGCAATTTGGCTCGCGCTTGTCGTTGGAAAACTTATTTGAAAATTGTCGCGAGCTTATTTCTTATGCTTATATTTATCTCTCGTGTGTATTTCTCAACTTAAATATTTGGAGGGATTTTAGATAAAACACACACGCGCGCGTACAAAGATACGTGAAACTATAGGACACGTAGGTGTGTAATTCGATGTTGAAATAGTGTTAAATGCAAATATCTTTGCCGGACGTACACGAATTTCTCACGTTCGCTGCTTCGCGAAATCTCATGAAACATGCTCTGTGTACCGGGCGCTATTCAAGCCGGGCGAAATGCATCGTAAGTGCTGCCATACGCTTAATTATTCAGGGGCGCGTTCGTATAATTATTGTAGAGAAATTTCTGCGATATCTCGCGTACCATCGTTACTCTCGTGTCGCCGCCGCGAGACTCTCTCTCTCTCTCTCTCTTTCTCTCTTTCTCTCTCTCTCTCTGCCATCGGTGTGTCATACGTTCCGAACGTGCAATTTTTTTTCCGCATTATTCCCACACGAACGCCGGCGAGGTTGCGCCGATCGATTCCGCGCGTATGTAGTACTTACAGCTCTTTCTCTCTCTCTCTCTCTCTCTCTCTCTCTTTCTCTCTCTCTCGAGTTCGAGCTCGCCGAGGTTTGAAACGCAAAATGCAACGCGACACTTGAAAAGACACGTGCATTTTATGCGCGCATTGTATTCGCAAAAATCTGAACATCTTTGCGCTTTGTCCAATTAAACACGACGACAGGTGACGATGCGATAATTTCGATTTCGTTAAAATTCTGTTTTTTTTTTTTTTTTATCATTCCGTCGAACGGATATATAAGTTTTCGTCGGGTTAACTTTGGCGCAACGCGACGTTCAAAATTTATTAATCTCGCTCTCACGTTCATCGACGAAAAATTAGTCAAAATCTATTTCGCGTTGGTTTGTCGCGACGCGTAACGTTTGGGGATTGATAAAGTTGCCAACACACAGCGACCAGCAAGCATTTGTCAATTTCGAATGCATTTCGAATTACCGATAGTAACATGAATCAATACCCATTACACGTCACATCTGCGCGCGTGTCTGTGTGTGTGTGTGTGTGCGTTTGTGCAGAATCCGTGCGCGCATCCAGAACGTTGCGTGTGTGTGTGTGTGTGTCTGCGCCCTTATCTAAATTAAAATAGAAAACTCAACACAGCGCTCGTAAAGTAGCTCTGATTACAGAAACAATACCTTGTTAATCT